TTCAGTGAATACCTCCTCGATTTTCATGCTCCCCTGATACATTTTTGAAAATTTCGAATTTTTCAATTTCAGTGAATACCTCCTCGATTTTCATGTTCCCGTGATAATTTTTCAAAAATTTTGAATTTTCAAATTTCAGTGAAAACCTCCTCGATTTTCATGCTGCCCTGATACATTTTTGAAAATTTCGAATTTTTCAATTCCAGTGAATACCTCCTCCATTTTCATGCTCCCCTGATACATTTTTGAAAATTTCGAATTTTTCAATTTCAGTGAATACCTCCTCCATTTTCATGTTTCCCTGATACTTTTTTGAAAATTTCGAATTTTTCAATTTCAATGAATGCCAATTTCGTAACCCAGAAAATAACATTCACCCCGTCGGCTGGTCACTCAAACCCCCACAACTGATCCTCTACTTTAGTCAGTCCTCTTTGCAATATATCAAAGAGCTCAATTGAATAAAGCAGCTACTACCTTATCGACTTGAATCAATGTAATTTTCTTCATTTCAGTAACATTTTTGCATTAAAAAAATGTATGCAGTGATTTTGATATCAATATTCTCCACTGGTATCAATTAGTTGTTGATTTTCCGTCTTCAGATTTGTGAGCACCACACAACGGGGCCCAAGTGCGATCGTTGTGCACCAGGATATTACGGTGATGCAACCAGGGGAAACCCAGATGACTGTAAACAGTGCGCATGTCCTCTGACCATAGCTACCAACCAATTCAGCCCTAGCTGTCAGCTGGACGATCCTAGAAATCCATTTGGAAATTATGTATGCACACAATGTCCTGTTGGATACACTGGTGACCATTGCGAAAGGTAAATTATACCAAATACCTTTTTTGCTTTCATATTTTACTCTAAATAATTGTTTTTTTTCTAATTAACTTCTTATTGTTTTCGATATTATTTAATATTTGTTATTTGTTATTCTTTGTCTCTTCATTACTATGCACTTTGTCAATGAATTGTTCATTTATATTTTCATCATTCATATTGGTGAGTGAGAAATAAATGGGGAATATTACTCCTGTGGAATGCCGAGGCATTCGAATCGTAAAAGTTTTCATTCCTCTTTACGTTTTATCATTTTATTTTCAAGCTGTGATCTCGGTTACTTCGGCGATCCAACAAAGCCTGGAGGCACTTGCGAGTCCTGTCCCTGCAATGGAGGTACCTGCGACCAGGAAACTGGTCGGTGTTTGGAATGCCGAGGGAATACCGAGGGCTGGCGATGCGACAGATGCAAGGAGGCACACTATGGGGATCCTCTAGACCAAAGTTGCCTACGTGAGTTTATTCATCTCAAAACAATGCCTTTCCCTGTGATTATTGAATTCATCCTAAAAACCCGCAAAATTAATTAACCTACTCTCTTTCCAAACCCCCACAATTCCATTTCACTAAACAATTCCTCCAATTCCTGTAATCAATAAAATCCCGAATTGATAAATCACGATGCATTTAATTTCACCCCGAATTAGTAATCGATGAATATTTCATAAATGAAGCGAAATATAAAAGATTTGTGAAAAAAATTTCGTTATCTTCCCGCATTGAAAAGACATCCTAGTTAATCGGTTCATAACAGAATTGTTAATGATGGGAATAAAATGGGATCGAGTGAAAAAGATAACAATTAATTTATCAGAAGGGATAAATCAATGAAATATATTTTAGCCTGCAGTTGCAATCCTGAGGGCAGCATCTCACGATTATGTGACTCAGTTAGTGGCCAGTGCCTGTGCAAGCCTCTGTTCACTGGTCGTGACTGCTCCACCTGCATCGAGGGCTATGGCAATGTAACTGCTGGCTGTCGTGAGTGTAACTGTGATGTGGGTGCTATCACCAGTGTTTGTGATCAAATAAGTGGTAGCTGTGTATGTGCACCAGGCGTCAACGGAGACAAGTGTGATGTGTGCGAGAAGGATCATTATGGATTGTCCATCGATGGCTGCAAGGGTGAGTCCCACCAATATTCTTTCCCATCCGTTTTATCGACATTTTATTTCCACCGGGTACCGGAGTACATTCGATTTTCGTTTTTATTTACTCTTTTCCCGCGAAAAACCCCCGAGCCAAATCGTCTGCCATCCTACGCTAACAGAACTCCTCCCACCCACGCGTAAACAGGAAATTAACAAGTTTTGAAGACACCGATAAATAAATCGACCCCTGGGAAAATGCATTTTGCGTTGCACTTGTCGATAGCGAGTATTTACACATGGATCACTATGTTTTTATCGATTTTCGGGTTTTCTTTAATTAGGAAAAATCGAAGGATGAAACCATTTCAATCTGATCAATTTTCCTCCAATAATTAACGCAATCGATGAAGCCGTTAATTTTCGGAGACTTTCCACTCTTCTATAATTATAAAATGGATTATAATAATTTTTGAAAAGGCTGAATTGAAAAAAATGATATATGGGATAAAAAATAATTATGACGCGTCACGATATGTTGAATTGGTCGTAAGTCTGAAGAATGTACGTAGGAAAATTAACGATGGGCGTAATAATAATGGAATAGTCAAAGAAACTTGGCAAAAAGCTGTCGCTGCTCTCTCAGCTCGTTTCGAGATGTTAATGAACTTCCTATGGAGGTGGGTGACCATGAGCATATCTCGAGGGACTTTTCACCAGGTTTATTCTCACCTCCAGCCCACGTGTGTGGACAGTAGATTAGTGAGTCATCCAGAGGCAATTGAAAATGCCAATGCACTTATCCGTCTCTCATTCATTTCTGACTATTGCTAATTAAAAACAATGATTTTTCATTTCGATCGGAGTTATTAAAAATCCAATTAACTGTCTGGAGGAGTTGCTGAACCTCTGATCTCTTCTCATAACTGTTATTCAGCTTCACACGTGCTGCAAGCTCGCACCTCAAGTGCTCGTTTATAATATTCATTTGTGGTGAGAATAAGTGTGCATAGCGTGCCAACGTTGCACGACATTTTCAAAGCGTTAATTTACACCCGATGGTGATACCCCCGGGGGTATGATGGATTTATGGAGGTGGGGCTTGTTGAAACAGTACATCCGGTGGGTATTTTCATGGGTTATTGGGAAGAGAGTCATTAGGATTTTCTGGTTGTTGGGATTTTTATTATTCTTATTTTTCGTGTTGTCGAGGTGCAAACATTCTTCATTCTGAGAATATAGACAGCAATGTGTTGGCTTTACGCAAAAATTCGTAATTTGTTGCCTTCATGTTCGTATTCTTATATAACCGAGGAGTATCTCTGCTTTCGATGTACCTGGGTAGGATGGCGTCTGTTACTTCTGCGATTGAATTATATCTCAGGATTTTCAGGGGGTGAAGAGTGACTTTTATTGAACAATCGGGTTTTTATATCAATTAAATGTTGACTTCGTGTGTCATTTCAACCGATTTCAACACTCGAACTGCTCGGGAAGAATTGAATATTTTTTGAGAGATGAGAAATCTCATATTCGCGGTGATGTCCGAATTACCGAGATCCGAGTGTCTCCTGGAGGAGTTGGTACACTCGCTAATGATGCAATCGGTTCATCTGATAACAAAGTCAACTTCCTTTCCTCTGAGTGCCACTCTGTGCCCACCTGACTGCCAATGCGTGGGTCGGCTCTGTACCGGGTGTCTTCTCAAACTCATCAACACTTTAATATAATCCGTAAATCCGAGAAATAAAATTTATCACCCGGGGAAAATCCTCCAGGAAATTCTACCGTTAATACTATGAAAAATCTCACAAAGCCATCGCAACCCAAAAATTCTTATGACGTAAATTTTCCATGACAAAAAATTTACACTCACGTTTAGTTAACGTGTATTTATCGTTTAGTAATCGTCCTTCGTTTTTAATTATGTAAATAAAAAAACGATTAGTCGAGAACGAATAATGATAGGAAACTTTAACAATCGGGTGAAAATTATAATTTTTATACGATTCGTGGGATTTTTGAGTCCGTCAGTGAAAATTTAAAGATAAAATTTGTGGATTGAAATTTTTCGCGAGACGATGGAGTCACCCGTTTTGTGGGGACCGGATCAACACCTGGTCGTAGGACGGCTCGAGATCCTGGTAAAGATCCACTGTGAAAATATATAGGTATCGGATTTCTCAGACTCGGAGTTTCATTCATGAGTCCAACTCTTTCCATGAATCAAATTTAACTGAATGAAAAAGATACGAAAAATGTTGAGTTCCATTTAAACCGGGAAGTTGATTCAATTGTCGATATGATGAAAGAAATTGTTTATTTTTGTTCGCTGGCGAGAATGAAAGAGACGATTGGGATTTTGATCGTAAGAATTGATAAATCTCGGTGTTTCGTGGCTTCTGGAGCTGTCCATGGGGGGAATTGATTTTGGTTGGGATCGGGAAGGGGATGACAAAAACTCGACGGATCCGCGGAATGTAGTCTTGTGATGCTCCAACTTACGGACAATTTGATCGCACTACCAAGACCCACTGCATCGACAGCACATGTTTAGGTTGTTTAGGATTTTTAATTTAACTTTCACTTTCAAAATTCGTTCATTCATTTCTAGTTGTCCTGAAATGATAAAAATAATTTCATCTTTAGGAAGAGAAAGTTAATTCGAAGAAATTGATCTTTAATTTATTGATTCAACAAAATCGATTAATTCTCGGTACTTTCCCATAAAATTACAAATAAAATAAAATATCGGAATAACTCTCTGAGATTATTGCACGGGAATATCGCAGATCAGATGGGAATTTTTACCCGATAATTTCCGTCCACAAGACAGCCACGGCCCGATAATGATATCGATAAGCACGAGGCAAGCGAAGAAATTTCAAGTAATGGTGTAAAAATAACCGAGAATGTTCACATTAATTTCAAGAATCTACTGGCTAAGTTGAATAACGAGAAAGTCAATTGCTGTAATAAGGTTATTTTCCAGTGGAATTGCTGATTAAAATCTTCGAGATACCAATTGACACGGCTTTCCCACAGATTCTTGGAAATCGATAGGTCGAAATCGAATATCGTGGGGTATTTTATTGTCCTCGAATAAATGTCCACCCACTTGTTGTATTTCACACATCACGTGGATTAAACATGTGGATTTTGAAGAGCTTAAGGCGAATGAAATGTGTCGAGCTCGAGAGAATACGATTCTCGTAGAGGAAGTTCTAAATTTGATATTCAATCCCATAAATTCTTCATTAACCGAAAAAAAAAAATCGTTAAACACCTCAACAGCTTTCAATTAAATTCTCCAACCAATTGCAATGATGAATTAAAAAATTTAATGTCACTTCGTCGATGTTGAAAGTCTCAATTTTTTTAGGATGAAATTTGACGCGCAATTTCCTCGAGTACAGAATAATGTATTACCGGGTATTGAGGCAATATATACATTGCACACGTGCGGTGATTGTATCTGAAGCACTTGGCTCATTGTCTCCATTCCTGGGGGAGCATTGTATATCGGTATGCAGGGTAGGACATTGCCTGTTTTTTTATTGTTAAAAAGACGTTTGTGAGTCGAGTTGCCGCTCTGGTTTATCACCCAGGAAACATTAAAAGTTCACCGATAAAGCATCGGTACGACTCAATTAATTGGCCAATGTATTTACTTCCTCTGTTTCGAGAACTCGATAACGAGTCGCGAAAAATACGACAAAATTCCACTCTAAAAACAGTTGGACCATTCCAAGACATTCCTCCATTGCACTTTCATGAAAATTGACGAAAAATTAATATGACAATTTAATTCTCTCCCCAATTCTCAGACAAAATGTTCTCTTCATATTCGAATTAAAAGAATTCTGTGAAATAATTTAATAGCAATATTATCATAATATTATTATTGTATGATTATTTGAATATATTTTTAAACAATTGAATAATATTATTATGATGGTTTTATTGATTAATAATTTATTGGGGAACGTTTTTTTTTTGGCAATTTGGAATTTGGAACGGGGGAAAATGGGAAAACTGTATTTATTCTTCGGGTAATTATATTCATGATCTGGTTGGGGATCGAGTGCAATCGCGATTACTCGGCAGCTTCATATATTTCTGTTATCTCGATCAAGCACCCGGTGTACTGCCACTTGTCCGCTGAGGATTTCTATCAGTTGTACTGAGAGAAGGTAGATGAGAGGTGGAGTTAAATCCAACTTCAATTGCTATTCAATTCAGAAAATAATTACATACAAACATATAAAACTGCATTTCACTGATACTTGCAATCTCATTAAAAATTTTTCATACCCTGAATGAATAATTTTCTTTGGAAAAAATCAATTGATATTTCGTTGTCAATTCAAATTTAATTTAAATTCATATAATTGACAATTCAGAAAACAATTACATTTTTTAAATTCATTTCGGTATAGATCTGATTTTTTTTTTTATTATTCATTGAATATTTCGGAATTGAATCCTCCCAGACATTTTAAGAACATTGTTTTTTCAATTGAAAATCGTTCTAAATTATTTTTTTGAAAAAGCCCCTAGCAATAAATAATCTGGTGAATTAATTCACTAGATTCTCCCAAATAAATTTAGAGGACATACTTTTTTGAAAAATTGCGTGTTCGATGGATTTCAGTCTTTTTGAATATTCATTACTGAATATTTTCGCGGTGAATGATAAGAAGTGTTTTACGATATATTAATCACGAAAACGTTTTAACGAACAAGTGAAATAAACCGAAAACAGCAATAAATCCGTCACCGCGGAGCTGATGGGTTTTCTCGAGTATATTAGGGATGAGTTAAAAAATTGAGTGGTACGGCTGTGCGAGAGGCTGATTAGCAATTAGTTAGACCTTGGGAATTGAGACTCCATTAGCGACGTTATCTCTCATCAGACGCAATACCCTGTACACACTTGTCCCTATCTGCCATCCCATTGGAATATCCTATAATTTTCACATGAAAAATGAATAAAACCCCGAGTGAACTAAGTAAATTCAAGTTTGTAGAGATTTC